ATGACCCTGCACATGTCATTCTTCTAATCAGAATGTAGCAGCCACTCCTCTCCACCAATCTCAGCCTCCTTTCCACTCTCCAATGAGGCCTTGACTTTGCATTCTCTCAGCTTCCCATTATATGTTTATATGATGCGAAAGGGCACTTTCTGGAAGGCTCTGTAGTGTTCTCAGGTTATTACCAGTGTCCCCCAGTACTTCTGGACAGACTATAGAGCTCCTTTGGCTAAAATGCTTGGGGAAGCATTCTGCATGGGGGACCAACATGTATCATCACCTGACCATGCTGACAATCTACAGCCCGGCCCCCGATCCAAATCAGCAATATACTAATATTAAGGAAAAAGTAACAGAAACCAAAATCACCCACCTAATGAAGATATATGATCAAGCAAAAGAAAATAAGGCTGAGAACATCCGCAGGTAAGCCAGGCTATGAGAAAAATAGCTCTGAATTCAGAAGGAACAAAACGAGGAACCGGGGAGAGTATAGAGAAGTGTTAACTCACACTGGTAGGATGTCCCCTCTCACTCAAAACAGCTTAGTTCATATCCCAGGCATGGCCACTCTATCAAAATAATTAGTAATTAAACAAGTTAATATATGCAACATGCTTACAGCTTGGCACTGTAAAGATTATTACCCTCTTTCCTTCAAGCACAGCAGAACTAACACGAGAAATGTCACATCTTTATCTGCAGACTTTGGGGGCTCCAAGGCAGAATTTTCACCTACTCAGAGCAGGCTGAGATTCAACTTCCCTTTTCAGGTTTCACCAACATCCCTAAAGGTTCCATAGTATATCTGCCATCATGTGGAAAGAAAAAATTCAATTCCCAGGCATTCCCAGGTACACTTCTAAGGAAGTGGTATGGTGTGAAGCATAAAGCAGTGGACCAAGGGCTAAAAAGTCAGACTTCTGGCCTGGCACAGTGGCTAACACCTGTAATCCCAGCACTCTGGGAGGCCGAGGCAGGTGGATCATTTGAGGTCAGCAGTTCAAGAGCAGCCTGGCCAACATGGTGAAACCACATCTCTACTAAAAATACAAAAAAATTAGCCAGGTGGTAGTGGCGCACTCCTGTAATCCCAGCTACTCGGGAGGCGGAGGCAGGAGAATCGCTTGGGCCTGGGAGGTGGAGGTTGTGGTGAGCCAAGATCGTGCCACTGCACTCCAGTCTGGGTGACACAGTGAGGCCCTGCCTCAAAAAAAAAAGTCATCTTGTATTTGTACTGCTACTATTTTTGTGCTCTTGAAAAATTACTTACCTTGCTTTTTTTTTTTTTTTTTTTTTTTGAGATGGAGTTGCTCTCTATTGCCCAGGCTGGAGTGAATGGCGTAATCTCAGCTCCTGGCAGCCTCCAACTCCCAGGTTTAAGCGATTCTTCTGCCTCAGCCTCCAAAGTAGCTGAGATTACAGGTGCACGCTACCATGTCTGGCTAATCAGGGTTTCACCATATTGGCCAGGCTGGTCTTAAACTCCTGACCTCGTGATCCGCCTGCCTCGGCCTCCCAAAGTTCTGGGATTACAGGCATGAGCCACCACACCCAGCTGAAAAATTACTTACCTTTCTAAGGCCTACAGTTTGTAATCCTTTTTTAAAAAGTGATTAGATGACCTATAGTCCCATAGCCAAGAAAACAGTAGCTTACCAACAGGTTTTACTGTGACCTACAGTGAGAAATATATCTTGTACTAGACCTCAATACTCACATATATATGTGCATAGCAAAAAGAAGAATTTCAAGAAACAATGCTTATCCATACTACATTACACTCTCTATTCTACCCTTTTTTTCTCCCAAAGTGCTGTTTGAGACTTACCAAATTGGCTTCATGACCCATTTGTGGTCATAACCTGCAGTTTAAAAAACACTGGACTAAAGCATGTAGTAAAGAATGTGGCTTTGCAATTAGACAGACCCAATACCACTTTTGTTTTCTGGTTTTTTTTTTTTTTGTTTTGTTTTTTGAGACAGGGTCTTGCTCTGTCACCCAGGCAGACGTGCAGTGGCACAATCATGGCTCACTGCAGCCTCGACCTCTGGGGCTCAAGCAATCCTCCTGCCTCAGCCTCCCAAGTAGCTGGGATCACAGGTGTGCACCCCCACTCCTGGCTAATTTTTTGATTTTTTGTAAAGATGGAGTCTTGCTATGTTTCCCAGGCTAGTCTCAAACTCCTGGTTTCAAGCAATCCTCCTGCCTCAGACTCCCAAAGCACTGGGATTACAGGTGTGAGCCACCAAGCCCAGCCCCAGCACTACTTTTAACTAGCTGCATAATCTTGGGTAAACTACTAACCTTTCCAAAGTACATCTTTTAAATTAAGACTAATACACCAGGGTTTTTTCTAAGGACTAAATGAGATTTTATATATATATTATATATATATAAAGCACTTAGCCACACTGTCTGACATGAAATACACACTCAATAAAAAGTTATAGTGATGACTAATAACATCAATATTACTATAATTAAATATTACTATTATTAAATTCAAGAATTCCAAAAGAAAGTAAAGTAAGTGGAAGAAAGTTAGAAAAAGGAATAGGCTCACCTATAAGCATCAATAACCAGTAGGACTGTTGTCAGGTTAACCCAGGACTATGCTCATTGAAATTTCACAAAGGGGTTTTGCTTACTTTCTTCACAATATCCCCTAGCAACTTAAGCAATGCCCAGCACGTAATAGGTACATATATTTGTTGAATGAATGAAAACATCTGGAGGCTCACCTGTGTGCTGTGAAGAGATCCCAGCCATACCTACATAGCACACCTGCCCAAAAATCCAAACACCTTGAGATTGCTCTAAGCCAGTGGCTCTCAAAGTGTACTTCCCAAAACAGCAGCAGTATTACCTGGACACTTTTTAGAAATGCAATCTACTACCAGGTCCCACTCCAGACCCACCAGATCAGAAACTCTGGGGGTGAGCCCAGCAATCTGTGTTCTAACAAGTCCTCCAAAACTTGATGTGCACTCAAGTTTGAAAACCAGCATTACAAACTGTGATGATTTAGGGACCAATAGCAATTCCAGGGAGCTACATGTACAATCAAAGGGACTCCTGCAAAGATTATTGATCCTTGGAATTAGTTACTTATCTAGTTCAACCCAGACTTTTCAGAGTTAGCTGCAACTTCCAAGGAAGTTATCAAGAATTGCTTCTCCTCTCTGCTTCTCCTCAGTGCACCAATAAAGCCTAATTGGTGCAAACTCTCTGAAACAACCACTCTAATATTCAGCAAAAAGCCTGATTCCTAAAAAAATGCAAAACCTCTTTGTTAAATGATCTTTTATCTAAGCACATACCCTGGGCTCGCACTATCCATACCGGAACTTCTGGAATGCAGGCTCAGGGTGCTTTTTCAAACTCTACATTAATTCTCAAAAAATGAACAAGGTCCCACAGCCAATCTGCACGCAGCAACTTTGCAACAAAGTTATAACAGTACTGATCTACCAATACCTTGCATTTGACTATTTGCCAAAACAACAAGACCTTATTTAGCATCAATTTTGTGTACATACACTTCAGAAAGAAGATAACCAGATGTTAAAGATAATCAGATATTAAAACTCCAAAGTTAAGGTTTGTAATGTGTTGATAAATCAAACAACACATATTTGTATCACTAGATTGAGCCCAGTAATTTCTACATAACCTTAATTTCCCAAAAGGTACCTTAATCAGACAGATTCTAGTCAAACACAACAAGATTTAGAAAAAAACAATGTTTTTCTAATCAAAAGGCAGGAAAATATAACTATCTTCTTTCTACTCTGGTAAAGGATTTCTAAATATACCTTCCATGGGCAAAAGGGTACCTTTCAAAAATAAGATTCCTTATTTCTGTCAACAGAATAATGATCCAGTTATATACCAAAGAGCAGATAGAAGACCTAGCTTTGGAGTCATGTGACTCTGCATTAGATCTCATGGGGTCTCTGTCTCAGTCTCTACAAACAAAAACATGGCCTTGTCTCTATAAAAGATACAATGTACATAGAAGTGTTTTGCAAACTATTATATATAATCTTCTCAACATGCAAATTTATCCCTGTGAACTGATTATTTCCCTCCCACTCACAGTGGCAAAAATAATTTATATTAGAATGTGTCTAAAGGTGGCTTAATAGCAGTTGTGACAAAAGTGTAAACTAGAAAAGATACCGAACATTTACATACACGTAAAGCAGCATGAAGCCACAGAAGGCTTCAAATGACAAAGAAATGAGTTAGAAAAATCACCGACAGTACACTGGCCCTTACTGGTTTTGGCAAGGATTTCAGCTGGAAAGCCATGGTATTTAAAAAGAAAAATTAATAAAAAGAAAACATAAAATGAAATCTTTCAGAACTTCACAAAAGGTTATGTTTAAAAAGAAGTTTGGGAACAAGGGGATGCAGAGGGCTATGTTTTTGTCAGGTCTGACTTATCCTTTGCTATGGGTACACTGTCTTTTCATGTGGCCTCAAAGAAATAGTTGAGCCATTATTGTTGTTGATAATGACGAGCAGATGCTGATGGGATGATTGCACATCAACAGTTCTCAGACTCAGGTCTTGTGTAATTGGGTGTGTCAATCTATGTCACTCCACAGATGGTTATTAAACTAGTTACAACTTCCCTAAATCTTTTCGCTAGATCTATGCAGCATTCTGGACAGCTATTCCTTGCCAACTGAGATTAGGCACTATTATAAAAAAAAGTTTTGAAAAAACAATTCCAAGGTCTATTCCTCCTCCCAACACGCGCGCGCACACACACACACACACACGCACACACACACAGAGTTAAATCAGAGATGTTTAATTCAAATATTCAAATTTTTGAATTTGAAAGTTAAAATTTTACCAAAGCCATAAATATTCCTTTAATGCAGTGAATGTAAGAAATCTATTAATTTCAACCTGTCTTGAATAAAAATTATAATACATATATAATATTCTAAGAAAAAAGTATATGTATTTTGGATAATCTATGTACCTCAGGAGCAGCCCTGCTACCAAAGCTCTTCTCAGGATGGTGGAGAATGGTGAATCTCAGTTCTCACAACATAAAACTGCCAAATTCTTTCTAGTGAAAGAGGTGTATAGCCGTGATGTGCTAGATAAAAGTGGCCTTCAGAGAAGCTCTCCATGGACCACGGGGCATGGTCAAATGTCCAACTGGATTGCTGTGGGAGTGAAAATGATCCACTTGGCATTTTGTTGATATTGAGGTGTCAAACCTTTAACTAGTTGGCCACTCCTTGCAGTAAGCTTCTGTACACTGGACAACTGAAAGAAAGTTTAAGAAGGCTCCCTTAAACAAAAGGTACAACATATAAAATACACTGTTGTGGAAAGACAAGTATAGCTTCATTATCATATAGATGTAAACAAGGCAGAGGCTAGGATAAACTAAAGTGTAAAATGTGAGTCTGTTAATTTTTCTTTCCCCATAAACATTTGGCAGAGTTAAAAGTTTAGCCATCATACATTTTCTTCCCTGAAATGTATCAGTTACAGTTCCCACAGACTCTAGGTACATATTTCCTTGTGGGTGTATGTGTAAAACTACCATAACAAAACATTTTCTATTTCCTCATTTTGATTAAAAGGAAAGAAGAAATGCTAAACTGCACTTACATAAGTGACAGTGCAATACTGACACACCCATCTGTGCACACAATTTGTATTCTGTTTAAATTTAAAGTTATAATGATAAGGTGAGAAATGCTAAGAGCTAGGAAATAAAAATACATTTGGAAGTGGCCTATGTTTTACGCTCTTGAGAAACCTTAAGGAAGCTTTAGAGAGCAGCAAAATGACTTCAGGCCACTCAGGAAGAACTATGGCTTGAGACATTGAAAATGGCTGAGGAAAAATACTAAGAAATAGATATCAGAAAATTAAAAATGCCTGTAAATGACAGTGACATCATGGACCCACTAGCAAGACATATGAAAGTTGTGATGAGTTAGGCTGAGTCAGTCACATATTTCTGCCTATTTCACATCTGATCAACATCCTGTCTAGGAACCAGGGACAACTGATTAACAATGCAAGCACAGAACAGCTTTAAGAAAAGCTAACTGACCCATCTGGGGGAAAGAATACTCAAAGTCTGCTCCATTACTGTCGTGCTCTGACACAGCTAACCAAACATAAACGAAGGGAATCCTTTCACATCATGAGGAATGAAATTCAGATTTAGGGACATTATAAAATTATGTGGTATAATGAAATAAGAACTGCTTTGGAAATCAGAACCTGGGTTCTAGCTCTGGCTTTCCCATACACTAACCATATGGTCTAAAGGAATTCCCTTAAGCTATTTGAGACTGATTATTCTCATCTGTAAAACTAAAATAATGTAACCAGCCCTCCATTCTTAGCAGAGTTCATTTGTGGCTCAAATAAGACCATGTCTATTAAGGTGATTAAAATCCGGAAAGTATTATTTAATGTAAAATATTATTTTATAATAGTACAATTCCCAGTCTAAAAATCTGTGAAACAGAAAATCCTTACCATCTAACCCAGAAACGATAAATGATTACATTATTCAAATTAGATCACAAACACCTATATTATTATTAGATCCATTCCTCCAGCCCAAATGGGGGTGGTAAGTATACATTGTCAGACCAGTGTAACTAACTTCAACAACTTTTTGTTTTGTTCTGTTTAGTAAATCCACCCAAGAACGCATTAACTTCAACAACTTTTTAAAAACAATTTCCACAGTCCTCTCCCTGTGTCTCAACCATGCTCAGGAATTACAAGTACAATAATCTCCTCAACCTCCCCTAGCCTTCTCTAGCCCAGAAATCTGACATAGGCCACTTCGCATGCCTGATTAGATAAGCTTTCCCAATGCTGAAAACCAACTGCTTCTAACATTTCAAACCTGATTTCCATGAAGACTCAGGGGTGAAAGATAGAAACAAATAATCCAACCAAATAAGTTCTTCCTTATTGAAAGAGTTCTTCATCTTTAATCTGAAATCCTAAATAATTTTTCTATGAATCAATTGCTTCTGAGATGAGAGGTACAAGACACTACAAACTATGACCACACAAAAGATTTTTAAAAGCTTTTGATTCACAGTGAGTTAATCTACAAACTTGAAGTTACTAGACGATAGTACTTTTAGTCTACACTTTAGGTGATCCATAATCTTGCCTTGGCCATGGAGCAGAACCTAAAGGGAGTCATTAAAAGAAACTGAAACAAGAAGGTCTGGAGACAAATGTTCCCAGACTATATATTTCAAAGGAGGAATTACCATGAAAGTAATGAACTTTAAAGTTCAGGGGCCCTTACACTCAGGTGCCTATTTTGTGCCAGAACCACGAAAGCACAATTAAATATGCTGCTTTCAATCTTTACAAACAATCCCGCAAGTCAGATATTACTATTATTCCCATTATATAAATAAGGGAACTGAGACTTAAAGAAGTGGCTTGTCTAATATTCCTAGCTAGTACAAATCAGAGCTCAGTCTCTCTGATTCCAAAACTCACCAGCTATGCTAAAGCAAAAATCAAAATGTAGTAGGGAAGGGTATCTAATAGTCATTCTGAGAGATAATTAAAAATCAACAATGTTTACTGTCACTTATCTCTTTTACCGTCTTTAGTATTCCTTGGCATCCTCTCCTTCATCATTCAACTACTGACTAACACAACTAAAACCTAAGGAGGAAGTCCAGTATGTTTGAAAGAACCCACATGTCTGAGCATGCAGGTGAAGGACTGTGTTTTAAAATAGCAGGGATAATCTAAGATTAGGTATTGGTGTCAAACACACTTCTCTTATCTATTAGTATAGATGATCACCTGTTTTCAGTAACAAAAGAGATGGTAATAAGAAAAAAAAAATCCACAGAACAGGAAAAAAACAAGGTTGTCTTTATGCTTGTTCTGTAATGGTATGTGTAGAAATGCTACCCACAGTTAATTCCATAGTTCCCAAGCTAAGACAGGTTAGTACTGGGTAATTTTAATAATTGGCTATGGCCATTGTTCAGAGGCTGAGGCATTCCAATCATTTTACATGGTCTCTTACACCACTTTCAGAATGGTACTTTCATAAGAACACAACTGTACAGTCAAGAAAAAGCTATTTGTAACTAAAACGGCTGGCATCAAACATTTCTGAACATAAATCTGGCTCTGAATTGCTAGTTTCTATCTCTCTCAATTTTTTATTTAAAAAAAAATCCGCACATTCATTCCTGGTCTTAATCTACTAAAGAATTTCTTTTTGGATCAAAAAGTAACAGGAAAGAATGCTAACCAACTTTCCTTGGATTACAACAAACATAAATCCATTCTTCTTCCCAGTTACAAAAAGATTTAAAAGAACTACAACTCTTCAAAATGGAAGTTTGCAATTTAGATCATTCTCCTATTATGCAAATGCTCATTCAGAATTAAAATATTGTTTTAAAAAGTAAAATTTAAAAAGCACAAAATGTTTACATTAAATACAAAATTACGCTATCTAACGGACTACAGGATTCCACCAGACAATGGCATTATTTATTATGGTTAAGTATGTTGGCTTTGGATCAGGAAAGAGGGGTTCCAGTGGCTGCTCTATACCACTGACTGACTAGATCATGATCTGGATGAACATTCCTTAACTTTTCTGTAAACAAGAATCCTAACATCTATTTTAAGGACTAAAGGAAACAAGTTAAGTATTTTGAACCCAAGCATCTGTCACATAATAAACCCTCAGAATATGGAAGCTATTGATATTCACATAAACTTCATGAAAACAGAAACTTTCGTCTGTTTTGTTCACTCTATTAACAAGGAGGCATGACTTGATCGGTGTTCATGCAAATACTTCCAGTTCCTCCAAAGTGGCATTCATATTTATATTAACTACATCTAAATTCTTCTATCCTTCGTGTATACTTCTCTTTTACTATAAGCAGCTTCAGCTACTTTTATGGAAAGATTTAAATTATTGGAAAATATTTTAAGGGTATTTAAGTTAACATATGGACCATTTACATATTCTATAAACTGTGTGCTTACACATAACTATAAATATCTCAGACTGTAAAAGAAAACCTTCCATAGTGTTCCCACAATGGAAAAATAAAGTCTTAGAAATAATTATAGAGAGAGCAGAAGGGAGTGGCAGGTAGAGGACAACTTACTAAATCTGCAAAATAAAATTTGGAATTTTTTCTTAAAACAAAACAAAATAAAAACCTGACAACCATTTGTTCAAGGTTGCCAAAACTTGAGAAGAAGCAAACTGTCAAGGGAAACAAATGTTAAAATATAAAGCCCTTTTCTGAGAAAGTAACTCCACCAGTCCAGGCTAATCCAACTCTGAATCACTAATGACACCAGACCTGCCAGGTTGTCTCAACTACTACGAAGAAGTCCAAAGGGACACGCAGAGGTTCACAGGCAAATTATTTTCACTTCTGTCATTGAAATTTTAAATATAGACACACCTCTCCCCTCCCAACACCCTTTCTACTCTTACTGTTGTTGACTCTGGCACTAACCCTTTCAGACCTCAAAAAACAAGGGCCGACATATTGATACATAATTTGAGAACTGAGCATAGTGGAAAAATCACTTGACTAGAAGTCAAGAGATTGGATTCTGGTCCCAACCCTGACCCAGCTCTAGGTACTTGGGCCAGTCACTTTGCTTCTTTGGTTTTCTCTTTTTAAAACAAGGATAGATTAGATGGGTGGTTCCCAACCCAAGATCCCAAAATCTCCAGTAGCCCCTGAGGTTGTAATAAAAGATAATGGGATATTTTTATTATTTCAAAATGTCTAACAGAGATAGTTCATTAACTGCTTTAAGGCTAATTAAAACACCAAGTATTTTGGCTTCACATTAGTATTCTGCATGGTGACACTGGATGGCATATGATTATGTTTGTCGTATCATAGGAGATTTGGAAACAAGAGTGTTAGACCTAATATTGTTCTCAAAGCTGTACCTTAGAAAATCACAATATCTGTACTAAACATAACACCCAACCACAAATGTGTGGTTAATAAAAAATGGGAAAATGATTTAACACCTATCAATGCAATTTGCATAATACAAGCATACCTTTGTGATATTGTGGCTTCAGCTCCAGATCATCGCAACCAAGCAAACAGTACAATAAAGCAAGTCAAAAATTTTTTGGTTCCCAAGGGCATACAAAAGCGATGTTTACAGTATACTGTAGTCCATTAAGCATGCAACACCATTATGTCTAAAACATAATGCATATACCTGAGTTTAAAAATACTTTATTGCTAAGAAATACTGACACAGGGACATATAGTGAGTATATGCTGTTGGAAAAATGGTGCTGATACATTTGCTCGACATAGGGTTACAACAAACTTTCAATTTGTAAAAAATAAAATAAAACAAAATCTGTGAAGCACAATAAAAGGGAACACACAATAAAATGAGGTATGCCTGTAGATATAATCTCCCCAAACAGAAAGTGAACCTCATTAAGGGAACAGACTCAAATGCAAAACCCTTAAATATTTATTAGATCACAGGAAACCAGTGAACAATCCACATGCTGCAAAGATGATGTTCCTATTTCCTCATGAAGGTTCCCAATCACTCATCCACTTTTGATTAAAGAAAAGTGAATGTACCAAGAAGCCAGTCTATACTGCAACATAAAATAACACCACTACCAACGATAACTACTATTTACTGCACTTTTACTATGTGCCTGGTACTGTCCAATGAATCTAACATTTATTAACTGACATTATCTTCATAACAACTCCAAAATATACTGCTACTATCTTTATTTTTAAAATAATAAAATTGAGGCACAGCATGCTTTAGAAACTAACCCAAAAACAAGGGGCTAGTAAATTTAGAGCAAGGCTTGTATGTATTCCAGCCTTCTCCCCACCAAAGCTGGCATCTGCCTTTCAAAAAGATGTCTCCATAAATACAAACAGAAATGTCCCCAAGCAGAACCCAGAGGAGAAGGGCCAACGCTCCGGAGAGCAGTCCTCTGAAGAGTTCGTCACTGTGGCCCGTTCTGGCTTAAAGACTCATCCTTAATGGGAACTCCCCTTTTTTACCTCCAAATTATATTTGCCTGTCCTGGTAACGGAAATCAACTGATAGAAGGTTAAGAGCCATCAATGTATCGGTCAGTTAATGTCCATCCATTTCTTACTTATTCAGAAGATACAAAAGAGTCCTAACTGGTTGACCCTTCAAAGAAGGTAGTTTGTTGAATTAATTTTTACTTATACATATCATAAAAATAGGCATCTGCAGTATCCTGGAATGAGTGAGGGTTACGGAGACAGATCTAGCTCTGAATCTCCACTAAGCCACTTACTAATTGCATTATCCTGAGCATGTTAGAAACCCTAGTTTCCCCAAATACCTACCCCTGTCTCTTAAGGTTGTTGCAAAGTGTTAAGTGTATGAATGTGCATAAAGCGCCATGATTTACTGCAGCAGCCCTACAGCCAGACAGGGGTTTGAATCCTGGCTACACCCCTCACTTACCATAGGCCAACATCCAAAGCTGTGAACCTAAGTTCCAAATTCCTTATCTGTAATGTAGAAAAATATTGTCTACCCCAAAGGACAGCCATATGAATTAAATAAAGCAATATTTGCAAAGCCCCTAGCAGAATGACAGACACATAGTAAAAACTCAAAAAACAAAAAAAAATCTGATGTTTAAAAAATCAAGCTGCAAGGACCAGGCACGGTGGCTCATGCCTGTAATCCCAGCACTTTGGGAGGCTGAGGCAGGCAGATCACCTGAGGTCGGGAGTACAAGACCAGCCTGACCAACATGGAGAAACCTGTCTCTACTAAAACTACAAAAAACTAGCCAGGCATGGTGGTGCATGCCTGTAATTCCAGCTACTTGAAAGGCTGAGGCTGGAGAATCACTTGAACCCAGGAGGTGGAGGTTGCAATGAGCCGAGATTGTGCCACTGCACTCCAGTCTGGGGAACAAGAGCAAAACCCTGTCTCAAAAAAAAAGAAAAAAAAAGAAAAAAAATGAAAAATCAAGCCACAAGTTTAAGTACCAGCTCTGTCACTTATTATGTATGGCATAAACAATGTATACAAGTCACCTAACCCCTGTGCGGCTCCATTTCCACCAACTTTGTGAGGATTAAAGGAAACCACTGTGTAAGAATACTCTACAAACTATAAATTTCCACAGAAATGTTGGAGGTTGTTTGATTCTATAAAAGTATTTTTTATATTAATTGTATTTACTGGTCCTTCCAAACACTATCTTCATCTGGAAAAAACTGAGGCAGAGAAATGTTGAGCCATAGAGGGAAGGCTAATGGTTTGAAATGTAGGGTGGAGACAAGGGCTGGGCCAAAATAAATTTAGACCAGGAAAAAACAGAAAATTTCTGAATGCTTCAAAGGAGAAAAATGAGACTACTCATCAACCTATGTTTTTAATCAACAGCTTCACCTGCTGGTTAAGCCTCTCAGTGCAAAGTCTGGGCATAATAATTCTCTTACTTCCTCCCAGAAACAGTATTAGACTTCAGAGTGAGAAAAAACCTCACTATCAAATCTCTTTTCCTATTCATAAATTAATTTTGGGAGGACGCACAGAAACAAAGACCAGTGGACACAAATTTGAGTCTCAGTCTAACTGGCATTTTCTGAACTACCCCATTTAAAAAAAAAAAAAGTTGTAATCCTTCAAATAGGTTTCCTTCCTTGGTTGATCAGAAATGTCCTCATTCCCCAGGTCTCTTCATGCTAAATATGGTAATAGCTGGCAGACAGCCAGTCCAGTAAATTCCAATGATACTTAAGAAAGCATTCATATGGCCTGAAATTACTCTGAACCAAACACTTGAGACCTGCAGGGCTTCAGCATAGAGCAGTTCAGCTGGAGCAACGAATGTCAAAACCAGTGGGGTGCCTTAAAAACACACAAGCTTGGAAAAAAAGCAATCTACTCTTCTTTATTGCTACATTCTTTAGCAACAACATTGATCTCCTACCCACTGTGCACACAGCACTGCACTAGGGCAGTGGGAGGCTGGACGGAGGAATGGAAGAAACAGGTGGTGTCCATGGGTTGCCAAAACAACAGGCTGCTTCAGTCAGTTCTGTCCTACAACTAATCAATTTGGTGAAGAAAAGGGGAGAGGATCTTAGTCATCTTGTTCTCTGACCAAGCTAACTGGCTAGACCCACTGTACTGGCTTATCCATTAGGTCAAAGTGTCAGAATTAGCAGTGCATGGTAGACATAGCATTAGTCCTGCCTTTCAGGGATGTTAAATGCTTCAAAAATCTTGGCTATCTAGAAAAGAAGGACAGTAGCAGATTACCCCTCACCCACCCAAAATCATGTATTTGACTCCAGAATACACTGCTTTCCTCCAACATATTTTTTTATTAAGTATTAAAGTAAATGTAAATTTCCTGGACACATACAGCTGAAAGCATGCTGATTTATAATACAGTCAGTTAAGAACTTTAAAGTAGCTACAGAAAATATCAGTTAACAAATGAATTAACCAATATCATTAGAAACCAAAGGATAAAAAAAAAATTAACCTATGAAATGAACAATTTTTATATCAACATTGGTAGCAATTTGATGTTATACACTGCTAATTATTTCCATACATATTGTGACATATTTAAGACAAAAGACTAACACCCTTAATATTTAAAGAGCTTTTTCAAATCAGTAACAAAATAATTGAATAAGACACAATTTACCAAAATAAGTAGAAAAAAAGCAATACAAACCCCACTGATATGAAAAAACATTCAATATCACTGTAATCAGAGAGGCAAACTAAGATTAAGTAATATTTACCACTTATCAAATGGTAAAGATTTTTAAAAATAAAACCCAGCGTTGACAATAGTATATTGTGTGTGTGTGTGTGTGTGTGTATGTGTATACATATATAGACACACACACATATGTAGGTCTGTTCATAAACTAAATATATATATATATAAAAAATAGATCAACAGCTTTTCTAAATCTAACGATAAAAGAAACAAAGATGTATACCGAAAAATTAACGGCAGCATGATTGTGGACATTTTATTTATGCTTTTC